TAAATGTAATCTAGACCAGAGTATATGTAATCTAGACCCCAGCAAATGTAATCTAGAACCCAGTAAATGTAATCTAGGCCAGAGTAAATGTAATCTAGACCCGAGTAAATGTAATCTAGAACCCAGCAAATGTAATCTAGAACCCAGTAAATGTAATCTAGACCAGAGTATATGTAATCTAGACCCCAGCAAATGTAATCTAGAACCCAGTAAATGTAATCTAGACCAGAGTAAATGTAATCTAGACCCCAGCAAATGTAATCTAGACCCGAGTAAATGTAATCTAGACCAGAGTAAATGTAATCTAGACCAGAGTAAATGTAATCTAGACCAGAGTAAATGTAATCTAGACCCCAGCAAATGTAATCTAGAACCCAGTAAATGTAATCTAGACCAGAGTAAATGTAATCTAGGCCCGAGTTAATGTAATCTAGAACCCAGTAAATGTAATCTAGACCAGAGTAAATGTAATCTAGACCCGAGTAAATGTAATCTAGACCCGAGTAAATGTAATCTAGAACCCAGTAAATGTAATCTAGACCAGAGTAAATGTAATCTAGACCCCAGCAAATGTAATCTAGACCCCAGTAAATGTAATCTAGACCAGAGTAAATGTAATCTACACCAGAGTAAATGTAATCTAGACCAGAGTAAATGTAATCTAGACCCCAGCAAATGTAATCTAGACCAGAGTAAATGTAATCTAGACCCAAGTAAATGTAATCTAGACCCCAGTAAATGTAATCTAGACCCCAGCAAATGTAATCTAGAACCCAGTAAATGTAATCTAGACCCGAGTAAATGTAATCTAGACCCCAGTAAATGTAATCTAGACCCCAGTAAATGTAATCTAGACCCGAGTAAATGTAATCTAGACCCCAATAAATGTAATCTAGACCCCAGTAAATGTAATCTAGACCCCAGTAAATGTAATCTAGACCCGAGTAAATGTAATCTAGACCCCAGTAAATGTAATCTAGACCCCAGTAAATGTAATCTAGACCCCAGTAAATGTAATCTAGACCCGAGTAAATGTAATCTAGACCCCAGTAAATGTAATCTAGACCCCAGTAAATGTAATCTAGACCCGAGTAAATGTAATCTAGACCCGAGTAAATGTAATCTAGACCCCAGTAAATGTAATCTAGACCCGAGTAAATGTAATCTAGACCCGAGTAAATGTAATCTAGACCCCAGTAAATGTAATCTAGACCCCAGTAAATGTAATCTAGACCCCAGTAAATGTAATCTAGACCCGAGTAAATGTAATCTAGACCCCAGTAAATGTAATCTAGACCCCAGCAAATGTAATCTAGACCAGAGTAAATGTAATCTAGAACCCAGTAAATGTAATCTAGACCCGAGTAAATGTAATCTAGACCCGAGTAAATGTAATCTAGACCCCAGTAAATGTAATCTAGACCCGAGTAAATGTAATCTAGACCCGAGTAAATGTAATCTAGACCCCAGTAAATGTAATCTAGACCCCAGCAAATGTAATCTAGACCCCAGTAAATGTAATCTAGATCAGAGTAAATGTAATCTAGACCCCAGCAAATGTAATCTAGGCCAGAGTAAATGTAATCTAGACCCCAGCAAATGTAATCTAGACCCGAGTAAATGTAATCTAGACCAGAGTAAATGTAATCTAGACCAGAGTATATGTAATCTAGACCCCAGCAAATGTAATCTAGAACCCAGTAAATGTAATCTAGGCCAGAGTAAATGTAATCTAGACCCGAGTAAATGTAATCTAGAACCCAGCAAATGTAATCTAGAACACAGTAAATGTAATCTAGACCAGAGTATATGTAATCTAGACCCCAGCAAATGTAATCTAGAACCCAGTAAATGTAATCTAGACTAGAGTAAATGTAATCTAGACGCCAGTAAATGTAATCTAGACCCCAGCAAATGTAATCTTGACCCGAGTAAATGTAATCTAGACCCGAGTAAATGTAATCTAGGCCAGAGTAAATGTAATCTAGACCCGAGTAAATGTAATCTAGAACCCAGCAAATGTAATCTAAAACCCAGTAAATCTAATCTAGACCAGAGTAAATGTAATCTAGACCCCAGCAAATGTAATCTAGACCCCAGCAAATGTAATCTAGACCCCAGCAAATGTAATCTAGAACCGAGTAAATGTAATCTAGACCCCAGTAAATGTAATCTAGACCCCAGTAAATGTAATCTAGACACCAGTAAATGTAATCTAGACCCGAGTAAATGTAATCTAGAACCCAGTAAATGTAATCTAGACCAGAGTAAATGTAATCTAGACCAGAGTAAATGTAATCTAGACCCGAGTAAATGTAATCTAGAACCCAGTAAATGTAATCTAGACCAGAGTAAATGTAATCTAGACCCGAGTAAATGTAATCTAGACCCGAGTAAATGTAATCTAGAACCCAGTAAATGTAATCTAGACCAGAGTAAATGTAATCTAGACCCCAGCAAATGTAATCTAGACCCGAGTAAATGTAATCTAGACCAGAGTAAATGTAATCTAGACCAGAGTATATGTAATCTAGACCAGAGTAAATGTAATCTAGACCCGAGCAAATGTAATCTAGACCCGAGTAAATGTAATCTAGACCCCAGCAAATGTAATCTAGAACCCAGTAAATGTAATCTAGAACCCAGTAAATGTAATCTAGACCAGAGTAAATGTAATCTAGACCCGAGTAAATGTAATCTAGAACCCAGTAAATGTAATCTAGACCAGAGTAAATGTAATCTAGACCCGAGTAAATGTAATCTAGACCCGAGTAAATGTAATCTAGAACCCAGTAAATGTAATCTAGACCAGAGTAAATGTAATCTAGACCCCAGCAAATGTAATCTAGACCCGAGTAAATGTAATCTAGACCAGAGTAAATGTAATCTAGACCAGAGTAAATGTAATCTAGACCAGAGTAAATGTAATCTAGACCCCAGCAAATGTAATCTAGAACCCAGTAAATGTAATCTAGACCAGAGTAAATGTAATCTAGACCCGAGTAAATGTAATCTAGAACCCAGTAAATGTAATCTAGACCAGAGTAAATGTAATCTAGACCCGAGTAAATGTAATCTAGACCCGAGTAAATGTAATCTAGAACCCAGTAAATGTAATCTAGACCAGAGTAAATGTAATCTAGACCCCAGCAAATGTAATCTAGACCCGAGTAAATGTAATCTAGACCAGAGTAAATGTAATCTACACCAGAGTAAATGTAATCTAGACCAGAGTAAATGTAATCTAGACCCCAGCAAATGTAATCTAGACCAGAGTAAATGTAATCTAGACCCGAGTAAATGTAATCTAGACCCCAGTAAATGTAATCTAGACCCCAGCAAATGTAATCTAGAACCCAGTAAATGTAATCTAGACCAGAGTAAATGTAATCTAGACCCGAGTAAATGTAATCTAGACCCCAGTAAATGTAATCTAGACCCCAGTAAATGTAATCTAGACCCGGGTAAATGTAATCTAGACCCCAGTAAATGTAATCTAGACCCCAGTAAATGTAATCTAGACCCGAGTAAATGTAATCTAGACCCCAGTAAATGTAATCTAGACCCCAGTAAATGTAATCTAGACCCCAGTAAATGTAATCTAGACCCCAGTAAATGTAATCTAGACCCGAGTAAATGTAATCTAGACCCCAGTAAATGTAATCTAGACCCCAGTAAATGTAATCTAGACCCGAGTAAATGTAATCTAGACCCCAGTAAATGTAATCTAGACCCGAGTAAATGTAATTTAGACCCCAGTAAATGTAATCTAGACCCCAGTAAATGTAATCTAGACCCCATTAAATGTAATCTAGACCCGAGTAAATGTAATCTAGACCCCAGTAAATGTAATCTAGACCCCAGCAAATGTAATCTAGACCCCAGCAAATGTAATCTAGACCAGAGTAAATGTAATCTAGACCCCAGTAAATGTAATCTAGACCCCAGTAAATGTAATCTAGACCAGAGTATATGTAATCTAGACCCCAGTAAATGTAATCTAGACCAGAGTAAATGTAATCTAGACCCCAGTAAATGTAATCTAGACCCCAGTAAATGTAATCTAGACCCCAGTAAATGTAATCTAGAACCCAGTAAATGTAATCTAGACCAGAGTAAATGTAATCTAGACCCCAGTAAATGTAATCTAGACCCCAGTAAAGGTAATCTAGACCCCAGTAAAGGTAATCTAGACCCCAGTAAATGTAATCTAGACCCTAGCAAATGTAAGCATCCAGCTGAGAATTAATTAATGACATGTTTAGCTTTCCCTCCATCTCCCTCCATCTCTCACTCTCTCTCTTATTTCTCCTTTGCATGTAATCGATTTTTATAATATTATCGATCATAAGCGTAACCATTGTTTGCTTAAAAGAGTTGGGTGGGGGGGGGGAGAGGAAGAGAGGATGAACCGTGATCTTTGAGAGTCTGGCATTGGCTGGCATTGGCTTAACTAAACTGGGCTTACTGAGACCTTCATTATCTTACAGGTTGGTTTAGACCAAAACATTACATGACCTCAACTAGACCAAAACATTACATGACCTCAACTAGACCAAAACATTACATGACCTCAACTTCACCAAAACATTACCTGAACTCAACTTGACCAATACATTACTAGACCTCAACTAGACCAAAACATTACATGAGCTTAACTAGACCAAAACATTACTAGACCTCAACTTCACCAAAACATTACCTGACCTCAACTAGACCAAAACATTACATGACCTCAACTAGACCAAAACATTACCTGACCTTAACTAGACCAAAACATTACCTGACCTCAACTAGACCAAAACATTACCTGACCTCAACTAGACCAAAACATTACCTGACCTCAACTAGACCAAACCACGACTGTCTTATATGCCCCTACACGACCATGGCGTGTAGTAACAGGTCAGTTTACCCCGACATGTTTTTGTTGACATCTACAATGCGCATGCGTCACGCAGTAGAAAACTGGTCAAACAAGATGAAAATCGTGCACTTACTGTTTTTTGCGGAATAAAATCCCGTTCACAGTCCTGTGTAGGTGCTGTTCTTGTGTAGGTCCTGTGTAGGTGTCCTGTGTATGTGCTGTGTATGTTCTGCAGGTCCTGTGTAGGTGCTGTTCTTGTGTAGGTCCTGTGTAGGTGTCCTGTGTATGTTGTGTAGGTCCTGTGTTGTTCCTGTGTAGCTTCCCTTTGCCTAGAACCTGAAGAGCTGGTGCCAGCAGCGGCTCACACTGTCCTCGTCCCGTCCACCTCGCGCGTGACGCGGAATCTGCGCGCGCAGCCAGCGGCATGACCAACGGCTCAGCCAGGCGGTGTGTGTGTGTGTTTACCTGCCTGGTTACCTATTGATGCCCCCCCCCCCCAGAATGACACCCTACTCCACTTGGCGACGTCAACTGTGACCCCCCCCCCCCCATGTAGGGGCGTTTTGTCCTGTTACCCACACTTGTGGCACCCAGATCTAGATCTACCTGTTAGGCGCCCCCCCCCCTCCCCACCATTCAGTGGGCAAATCACTCTCCCCTGCGTTCCAAAGTTCTAAACATTTTCATTATCCTATTACGATTTTACGACATTCCTATAAATATCCTACCAGTACCCATTTACTACTATCCTTTTAAAATGGTACCCATATACCACTGCGGTGTGAGATGACACCTATGACTGTGTGAGATGACATCTATAACTGTGAGGTGACATCTATAACTGTGAGATGACATCTATAACTGTGTGAGATGACATCTATAACTGTGTGAGATGACATCTATAACTGTGTGAGATGACATCTATAACTGTGTGAGATGACATCTATAACTGTGTGAGATGACATCTATAATTGTGTGAGGTGACATCTATAACTGTGAGATGACATCTATAACTGTGTGAGATGACATCTATAACTGTGTGAGATGACATCTATAACTGTGTGAGGTGACATCTATAACTGTGTGAGATGACATCTATAACTGTGTGAGATGACATCTATAACTGTGTGAGATGACATCTATAATTGTGTGAGGTGACATCTATAACTGTGAGATGACATCTATAACTGTGTGAGATGACATCTATAACTGTGTGAGATGACATCTATAACTGTGTGAGATGACATCTATAATTGTGTGAGGTGACATCTATAACTGTGAGATGACATCTATAACTGTGTGAGATGACATCTATAACTGTGTGAGATGACATCTATAACTGTGTGAGGTGACATCTATAACTGTGAGGTGACATCTATAACTGTGTGATGATATCTATAACTGTGTGAGATGACATCTATAACTGTGAGATGGCATCTATAACTGTGTGAGGTGACATCTATAACTGTGTGAGGTGACATCTATAACTGTGAGATGACATCTATAACTGTGTGAGATGACATCTATAATTGTGTAAGGTGACATCTATAACTGTGAGATGGCATCTATAACTGTGAGATGGCATCTATAACTGTGTGAGGTGACATCTATAACTGTGAGATGACATCTATAATTGTGTAAGGTGACATCTATAACTGTGAGGTGACATCTATAACTGTGTGAGGTGACATCTATAACTGTGAGGTGACATCTATAATTGTGTAAGGTGACATCTATAACTGTGAGATGGCATCTATAACTGTGTGAGATGACATCTATAATTGTGTAAGGTGACATCTATAACTGTGAGATGGCATCTATAACTGTGAGATGACATCTATAACTGTGTGAGGTGACATCTATAACTGTGAGGTGACATCTATAACTGTGTGATGATATCTATAACTGTGTGAGATGACATCTATAACTGTGTGAGGTGACATCTATAACTGTGAGGTGACATCTATAATTGTGTAAGGTGACATCTATAACTGTGTGAGATGACATCTAAAACTGTGTGATGATATCTATAACTGTGTGAGATGACATCTATAACTGTGAGATGGCATCTATAACTGTGAGATGGCATCTATAACTGTGTGAGATGACATCTATAATTGTGTAAGGTGACATCTATAACTGTGAGATGGCATCTATAACTGTGAGATGGCATCTATAACTGTGTGAGATGACATCTATAATTGTGTAAGGTGACATCTATAACTGTGAGATGGCATCTATAACTGTGAGATGACATCTATAATTGTGTGAGGTGACATCTATAACTGTGAGGTGACATCTATAACTGTGTGATGATATCTATAACTGTGTGAGATGACATCTATAACTGTGTGAGATGACATCTATAACTGTGTGAGATGACATCTATAATTGTGTGAGGTGACATCTATAACTGTGAGGTGACATCTATAACTGTGTGATGATATCTATAACTGTGTGAGATGACATCTATAACTGTGTGAGATGACATCTATAATTGTGTGAGGTGACATCTATAACTGTGAGGTGACATCTATAACTGTGTGATGATATCTATAACTGTGTGAGATGACATCTATAACTGTGTGAGATGACATCTATAACTGTGTGAGATGACATCTATAACTGTGTGAGGTGACATCTATAACTGTGTGAGGTGACATCTATAACTGTGTGAGATGACATCTATAATTGTGTGAGATGACATCTATAACTGTGAGGTGACATCTATAACTGTGTGAGGTGACATCTATAATTGTGTAAGGTGACATCTATAATTGTGAGGTGACATCTATAACTGTGAGATGGCATCTATAACTGTGTGAGATGACATCTATAACTGTGTGAGATGACATCTATAACTGTGTGTGATGACATCTATAACTGTGTGATATCTATAACTGTGTGAGATGACATCTATAACTGTGAGATGGCATCTATAACTGTGTGAGATGGCATCTATAACTGTGTGAGGTGACATCTATAACTCTGTAACGTGGAATAATTGAATTCATAATCTAATTTTAGCTGTAAACCAACACTCCAAGGCAATTAGGTGAGAAAAATATCAAACGGTATTCTATCAAGTAAGCAAACTAAACCTTAAGGACATGCCTTGTAGTTTGTTCTTGGTTTGACAAAGGCTATGGAAGCAAATCCAAAAAGAAAAGCAGGCTGAAATCGGAGTCAATGAATCATTGAATGGCGCATAACCAGTTGACACGTATCCTTAATTGTGATGGAGGCGTGGTCGAGTCGGCAAAAGCTCATGGTTGATAAAGTCTCGAGTTCGACCCTCTGGCAGTTAAGGCTCGATCCTTTCTAACTCTAAAAATTAAGAACGAAGAAGATTGCTTATTTGGGGTTGTCTGGTATTTATTGAAGACAACCGCCTCTACAATTGACCTTTTCCTGCATTAGCCCACAATTTACACCAGAACAAAATCTGGTCATCAAACAAAAAATGTACTCACTCCGTACGTCTGTTGAGTACAGTTTTGGTTGGGTACAAGTTTGGTTGGGTACAGTTTTGGTTGGGTACAAGTTTGGTTGGGTACAGTTTTGGTTGGGTACAAGTTTGGGTACAAGTTTGGTTGAGTACAGTTTTGGTTGGGTACAAGTTTGGTTGGGTACAAGTTTGGTTGGGTACAGTTTTGGTTGGGTACAAGTTTGGGTACAAGTTTGGTTGGGTACAGTTTTGGTTGGGTACAAGTTTGGTTGGGTACAGTTTTGGTTGGGTACAAGTTTGGTTGGGTACAGTTTTGGTTGGGTACAAGTTTGGTTGGGTATAAGTTTGGTTGGGTACAAGTTTGGTTGGGTACAGTTTTGGTTGGGTACAGTTTTGGTTGCGTACAAGTTTGGTTGGGTACAAGTTTGGTTGGGTACAAGTTTGGTTGGGTACAGTTTTCGTTGGGTACAAGTTTGGTTGGGTACAGTTTTGGTTGGGTACAAGTTTGGTTGGGTACAGTTTTGGTTGGGTACAGTTTTGGTTGGGTACAAGTTTGGTTGGGTACAAGTTTGGTTGGGTACAAGTTTGGTTGGGTACAGTTTTGGTTGGGTACAAGTTTGGTTGGGTACAAGTTTGGTTGGGTACAGTTTTGGTTGGGTACAGTTTTGGTTGGGTACAGTTTTGGTTGGGTACAGTTTTGGTTGGGTACAGTTTTGGTTGGGTACAGTTTTGGTAGGGTACAAGTTTGGTAGTTCAGCTGTTCGTGGTACGCAGCTGTATTTCAGAGGACAGGCGTAAGATGAGTTGGTCAATAGGTACATTACTGAGATGAGGTCAATAGGTACATTACTGAGATGAGAGGAGGTCATTATGTCATCTTTAAAATGACGAGTAGCAATAATACTTCTGTAGTTCTCAGAATTTAGCCTAGGGTGTTCTATCTGGCAAGCCAAACATTAATCTCCTGGACAAGAGACAAATCTAATTATAGCCGGACATGAATCTCCTGGACAAGAGACAAATCTAATTATAGCCGGACATGCGTGATGTGGGGCTGAGCCAAATGTCAACAAATCTAATTATAGCCGGACATGCGTGATGTGGGGCTGAGCCAAATGTCAACAAATCTAATTATAGCTGGACATGCGTGATGTGGGGCTGAGCCAAATGTCAACAAATCTAATTATAGCCGGACATGCGTGATGTGGGGCTGAGCCAAATGTCAACAAATCTAATTATAGCCGGACATGCGTGATGTGGGGCTGAGCCAAATGTCAACAAATCTAATTATAGCCGGACATGCGTGATGTGGGGCTGAGCCAAATGTCAACAAATCTAATTATAGCCGGACATGCGTGATGTGGGGCTGAGCCAAATGTCAACAAATCTAATTATAGCCGGACATGCGTGATGTGGGGCTGAGCCAAATGTCAACAAATCTAATTATAGCCGGACATGCGTGATGTGGGGCTGAGCCAAATGTCAACAAATCTAATTATAGCCGGACATGCGTGATGTGGGGCTGAGCCAAATGTCAACAAATCTAATTATAGCCGGACATGCGTGATGTGGGGCTGAGCCAAATGTCAACAAATCTAATTATAGCCGGACATGCGTGATGTGGGGCTGAGCCAAATGTCAACAAATCTAATTATAGCCGGACATGCGTGATGTGGGGCTGAGCCAAATGTCAACAAATCTAATTATAGCCGGACATGCGTGATGTGGGGCTGAGCCAAATGTCAACAAATCTAATTATAGCCGGACATGCGTGATGTGGGGCTGAGCCAAATGTCAACAAATCTAATTATAGCCGGACATGCGTGATGTGGGGCTGAGCCAAATGTCAACAAATCTAATTATAGCCGGACATGCGTGATGTGGGGCTGAGCCAAATGTCAACAAATCTAATTATAGCCGGACATGCGTGATGTGGG